ATACAACTGGAGAATAACAGACACAGATGCATACTTAGTGCAGGTACAAGTGATTTGGCACCCACTCACATTTGGTGAACATTCACATTGGGTGCACTGACATTTTGTGTGCATTCACATTGAGCGCACTCTGACATCTGGTGCCCATTCACATTGGGCACACTCTGACAATTGGTGCCCATTCACATTGGGCGCACTTTTCATGCATTCACATTGGGTACACTCTGATGGGCGCACTCTGACATTTGGTGCCCATTCACATTCCAACATTTCATGCATTCACATTGGGCGCACTCTGATATTTCAGGCACATTCATGTTGGGTGCACTCTGATGGGCGTACTCTGACAGTTGGTTCACATTTACATTGGGTGCACTTTTCATGCATTCACATTGGGCACACTGACATTTTGTGCAGAAAAATAATCACTGACATTTTGTGCCCATTCACATTCCAACATTTCATACATTCACATTGGGCGCACTGATATTTTGTGCACATTCACATTGGGTGCACTCTGATGGGCACACTCTGGCATTTGGTTCACATTTACATTGGGCGCACTGACATTTGGTGCCCATTCACATTGGGCGCACTTTGATGGGCGCACTCTGACCTTTGGTGCACATTCACATTGGGCACAGCACACTCTGACATTGAAACAATGCTGGATACAGACTATTTGTGACCCTATCAACAGCACAAGGTACATACAGTAGTACTTGAAAGAATTGTGCGCCCTGTGGAGCACAAAATAATTGCACCCCCTGTGGAGTGCAAAAGAATTGCATCCCTTATGGAGCTCAAAATAATTGTCCCCCCCATGGAATGCAAATAATTTCGCCCCTCATGGAGCTCGGAGCTTGAGATAATTGCGCCCCCTGTAGCACTCAGAATAATTGCGCCCCCATGGAGCACAAAAGAATTGCGCCTCTTGTGGAGCTTGAAATAATTGCACCTCTAGAGCACAAATAATTGCACCCCCATAGAGTGCAAATAATTGCGCCCCTTGCAGAGCTCAAAATAATTTCACCTGTAGAGCGCAAAATAATAATGGCATTGGTGCAAAGTGTGGGTTATTTTCAATAGGAGCGCCCATTATTGGCAGGCGCCCACCTGTTCGGCCCAGCCATCACTATGGATGATTTGTTGAGATGTCGGCCGAGTCCGCTGGCCCCATATGGTATGAAGCATTGTCAAGTTCGGTTGGTCCATTTGGTAAGGGCTAGGGTCACTGTCATATGTGGGCCCTAAGTTTTTTCTCGATTCTGTCAGAAGACTGAAAGGGCCAGAGGGGCAGGGAGATCAAATTTCAATCGTGGAAATCTTACATCTAAAACGCCTGTATGCTAGAAAGCGTTCCGACCCAGTGCCGACTCGCAAATATTGCGCAGAAAGACGTCAACCGTAATAATGTTCAGACTCCGATCGAACTCTAACCAGCACAACTGCGAGCCTCTGACTGCAAGTCCATCTCACTCTCGAATCCCCGCCATGGACGACGCAACTTTTGAAACTGTCTATGATCCAGCTAGTCAAGATACGCAGCATAGTAATCAACTAAAGACCTTCAAACCTCCGAAACGGGTTCAGCGGCCCAAAACTTGCGTGGAAGGCATCTTGCTTTACTTCAAGCTCATGTACAAACGGCGAAACATGGTCAGAATGCCAGCCATCTCGACGGAGTCTTTCCCTCTCTTCCTGAACAGTGTGCTTGCCTGTCTCTTTTACATCATCACATTCAGGAGATCTGCTTGGTATCGCTTGTCCGCGGAGTTTTTACAACAACGCGTTGAGGCAACTTTTCCTCTTCTGAAAGTGGCGGTTCAGTCTGCGGCTCAGTCTGGGGACTTTTCGGCAGAATCAATGAAGTATCAAATGTCGCAATTGGGAACGCGCTCAAGTGAAGAATACTACGTCGACGAATGGAACGCCATTGAATTTACGTCTTTGGACGATCATTGGACCCACTTCCTTCCTCAGTTCAACATTTCAGGTCCGCGGGATGTTCTGAGTTATGCAGGTGTTATGCTTGTGATGGTTTCTCTGTGCGTATAATTCCACATCACCCTGAACATTGTACTCAAACACGATCTCAATCATCAAGAATATTCTCCACCATTCTGGAAGTAAGGCCACCCCTTGGAGTGTGCATCTTCGCCACGGGTATGAACTACCTCATGACCTCGGTTGCATACGTGGAGAAGTTTGGTGATCTCCATTATTGGACCTACCAGGGCTTCGAGTGGGTAAACGTAAGCTCATTGCCGCCCCCCTCTCATCGACACACTGCATCTGAATAACACCTAGGCGTTAAGTCCTAGACCGAGCGTTGGCATATGGTGGGAAATTGAGTTGATGGTGATGCCCTCGGTGTGGCACGCAAGGTTAACGTTAGCCTTGTACTTCAACAACGAGTGCTGATTATTATTGCAACAGTCAC